CAGATGACACTGAGACTAGAGGGAAACTCGACTTGCTTGAGGAGGTAAGGGAAAAGGCGGCGATCAAAATGATGGCCTATAAACGAAGAGCCACTGTGTACTTCAACTGGAGAGTGAAGCCAAGAATCTTTCAAATGGGATACCTCGTTTTAAGGGACACAGCAGCAGTGGGACACCTCCCGGCAAAACTCGGACCAAATTGGGAAGGCCCGTATGAAGTGATCTGCAGCTTGGGGAAGGGAGCTTATACTCTAAAAGATATAAGAGGAAGACCACTGGGTAGGCCATAGAATGCAAAGCATCTTAAAAGATATTACCAATAGACTTTAGGATAGATGCACAGGCTATGTTCTTTTAAATACTGTAAAATAGGTTGCGTTTTTAATTCCCTCAATGTAACGCCTCACAAAGGCGCCTTTAGATACAATTATTTATCGTATTTAATGAAAGATCTTGGTAGTGGCGGATGATGAGGGCGCTAAGGAAGGGCCAGCCTGGTTGGGACATCTTGGTGCGCCTACTGAGCTCACGAATCCAAATATTTTTTATGCTAACAGGCAATCTTAAATCTCCATGCTCATCTCGTGAAGATCACCTCCTGACGGTCAACATAGCCCAAGCGGCTAGGTGGAGAGTCTTGAAAAGCCAAAAAATTGGCTAAGGTCATTAATCGCCAAACCACCTCTTGATGGTCGACATAGCCCACGCGGCTAGGCGGAGAGCCTTGAAAAGCTTAAAAAATTGGCTAAGGCCCTTAATAGCCAAACCACCTCCTAATAGTCGACATAGCCCACGTGACTGGGCGGAGAGCCTTGAAAAGCCAAAAAATTGGCCAAGTCCATCGACCATTATAATCAAGCCTAGCACACGTGGGACTAAAGAAATTCACCCATATACCAAACAACTAAACGTGGGAAATAACACTAGAAAAAATAATTTTCAACATTAATAACCGCATATAACATAACATTCATACAAAAAAATGTGATGTACTCTTGTCCACGCCCTGGACAAGTAGGGAATGATGCTACAAGTAGAAATCAAAGGCGACACAAAAAAGAGGGAAGCTAACAAAAGATGCTGCAGCAAAGCCATGCTTCAGCTTGAAGGGGAAGCGCCACCGCTGTCGTCCCGCGACGAATGACCAAGTGACCTAGATGGCTGCGGCCCGCTCTCCTTCCCTTTGCGCTGTGCAAGGAACTTATCAAAACCTGAGGGGTCAATAGAATGATGCTCGGTCTATACTCACTCCTTGGTTAGTTTGATGAAAGTCACCATCGCCTTCCCCCCATACGAATGCAAGGCCGTCGTATAATCAGACGATGACTTGTACTGCTCCACAGATGTCCAAGTCTCTAGTATACTCAGCAGAGGCCTTATACCTCTCAATCGCCTCCTCCGAAGCACGAGCCAACACAGACCGCAAATTGTCATTCTCTGTCTCCTGCTCACGGGCACGAACCTCCGACGCCTCTAAAGATTTCTTCAAGAAAGATATCTTCTTCTTGTGCGATGAGCCTCTTTCTTCTTTTCTTCCGCAAGCGCCTTTAACTCTAAGGTCTGGCGACGACTCTATTCAGCAAGCTCGATCTGAAGGGCCACCACTTAAGAATGAGGAGACAATATGAGAGTCAAGTAGACAAACCACGCTCATAAAATAAAACTCAGGGTAAAAGAGATATGGAATTATAAACATACCCTCTGGAGATAAACCGCCGCAGCCTTCTCGATGTTGTCTGTGTTGTGTCCTACGATTGCCCTGGACCGAGCGAGTGTCACCAAAGACTTAAGCACCCCCATCTCATGATCGGGTGGGAGGAAACCCGAAATTAGGAAGTAAATCCTCGTACTCTACCCATGTGCGACTGGAAGAGCCTGGCCTAAGTACAGGAGCAACCTCAATAGGCTCGTCTGAGGGCTGGGGAGTCTCTTTTGCTACCTGAGACCTTCCTCCTTGGTCAGCTGTCTTTTTTCTCTTTAAGGGGGCAGGGGATGGCTCAATGTCACTTCTATGTCCTTGTTCAGGCATTGAGTCCATGATCCCCTCAAGGTCAAATTCTATCCCTGTACATGCAAGGTAAGGCCCGTCAGGCTCCTAAAACAAAAGAACGTGAAAACATAAAACAAGGAAGAGAGGCTCAAGAGTTTACCGTCAATGGGAGCAAGGTCCTCGTCACCACCTGACAGGGTCTTCAACACCTTATCAAGGTCAAAATCCATATCTACATACATACGTCAAAACTCATTAGCCCAGGAAAACAACAAGCAAAAAATATGTGCAAGCAAAAAATCGCAAAAATTAATGAAACAACCTACTGGTAGGACGACTCATCCCCATTATTAACATGTTCTTCATGGTCAGAATCGATCCTAAGTTAGGTGCGAGGGGCGGTACGTTGAACAACTCCTGAATTTGAGTTTTTAGAAGAGAAGTAATTTCTACTTGGCTATTGAAAAGGCTGACTTGGGGATGCCACCAGTTGGTATTGAAGGGGAATCGACTTTCAGGAGACCGAGCAAAGAAGAACCGGGACTTCCACCCGCTGTTCGAATTCCTAAACTTGGGAAAGAGAAAAGGGATCCTAGTAGTGAAAAAGACAAACACATTGCATTGAGCGAGTTCGTGCATCTGAAAGACGCACCTAAAAAGGTCCATAGAAAGTGGAATTCTCCTCTTAAGGCAAACATACAAGAAATACAATGCCTTTCTCCACGCATTGGGATTAATTTGACTAAGGGTAAGGTGGAAGTCATTGAAAATCGACACCAAGAATGGATGAATGGAAAATCGAAAACCCCCGTCCATAATGTCCTTATACACAGCTACCTCACGCGGATCGGATTCGGGAAGCCTTTCTTTGGGACCTGGGGCTCTATAGATATAATTATCGACCCTATCATACCTAGCGAGACATTTTTCCGACTTCAGTGGGGAGTTGTAGAGAATATAACTTTTTGGAATTTCAAGGGAGACGATCTCACCAGTTGGATCCTTCCCAACTTCTAAGTTTGGTTTGGGGACTTGGTGGAGCCAATATGTCTCTTGGGGGAATTCGAAATAAACACTTGAGAATCAGCTGAAGGGGACCGACTATCAAACTCACAAGGAAATTCATGGACGAAAGGAGGAAAGTCGAAGGACTTATCACGAGTGGGAGGCGGGTGCTGGTCGGCCGACTAGCTCCATCGGATCTGTCCCCTGGATTTTTTCGGCATCGACCGGCCCCCCATCACTACTTTCGTCGGAAGAAGAAGAAGAAAAATGATATTTTTGTACATGATTTTGCAAAAAATGAAGAAGAAAGAGAAGAGAGTTACCTTGGAAGAGAGGGGAGGCTAAGATGTTGGGAGGAGGAGAAAATGATTCTCAAATGAGGGACCATCTCCTTTTTATAAGCAATGAAATTTGAATTCTTTTGGGGGGGAGGGGGGAATTCCCTTCAAGTTAGGGGCAATTGGATGGACACCAAGTGTGCAGTGAAAGAAGCATCCAACTTTAAATTATACAACTCAAATTGTTTAGGCGAATAAAAAAAAGAAGAAAAAGACCCAGGACAGGAGAATTACTACTCCTTGCCGATTAATGTCGACAAGGAGCAGGGGGCTAATGATATAAGTTAGCCTACAGAACCACACCCAGCGACGAACAAGGCGGGTCACTACACGTCGATGTGAAACTGTTGACCCGCTGGGGGCGCTCTACCTCTACGCGAGACCGTCGACCCCTCTGGGGGCGCTCTACCTTTATGCGAGGACATCTACTCCCCGAAAGTGACTTACGTGGCCACCTTAGCACTTAGTCAAAAATTTAGGTAAATTGACAAAGCTCCATGACGGTTATTATGTACACAACCTTCAGGCGGGAAGTTGGAAATCCCCCATGAGAATGTGGGTTAGTGGGGAAGCCAACATGGGACACGTGGCATCACAATCGCCCGACACTCACCCGGCTTCCAGTGCCTATAAATACTCCCAAAGACGACACAGGTAAGGGGATTTTTTTGGACATTTTCTAGCTATCTGAATTTCATCCTTATTTCTCTTGACGCACATACTGATTCTCACGCCAGAGGCAAAATGGGAGAGAAAGCCCCATCATCACTTTTCAAGTTATACACGTTCATCGGAGTAGTAGAAAAGCCACCGGCCACCAGGTAGATTAAGAGTTATTATTCCCCCACCATCTCAATCTTCCTATTTTAAATGAATATTAGACATATTGAATTCAGATTTATGAGATTTACGTTCAATAATTCGCGAGAACTAATATTGTCTGTTACAAATGAATATCAAACTTTACAACATACTCGTGAATAGATTGATGTTCAATAATTCTAAATGCCTTTCACAAACGAATTAGATATAGGTCCATATTTAAAATTGATTGTGACAAATGCACATCACAGCTTACAAATTTGTGTATATATACGATTTGATCAAAAAAAATTTCAATCAAATAAAAAATTAAATTTTCACACTCTATTTTTGACACATTATTCATTGTGTACAAGTGTAATCATTTATTTAGCCCTTGTTTGAGCCCCATGTTTTGCTAAGAAAATGTATTTTTGAATAGTGTTATGATGTGAATTGTGTGGTTAAAAAGTAAGGAAAAATTTTGAATTCGCGCGTAATTTTTTTTATTGTTATTGAAGAATGTATGGTTGAAATGTTGTCAAATCGCTGTTTCGTACTAAAATTTAGCCCTTGATCTAGTATTTTTAGGGAAAAATGTATTTTGAAATAATAATTTTTTTAAGAATATATTGAAAAAAATTAAATTTACATATAAAATTATTTTATTGAAGATTGTGTAATTAAAAAGAGGAAAGAAAAAATGTATTTTGAATAAAATGAAGCCAGAGCTTAATATTGCTTATAAGTTTAAATTAATCGGATTATCCACGTGTCGCCATATCCATTCCCATTTGCTCTCAGCCACGAGCCTGTCCAAATCAACACGTCTCTGTCCACAAATACAAATACAAACGTTTGCCAGAAAGTTCTTGCTTTCTCCATTGCCATTGTCTCTCAAAATCTTGCCTTTCACAATTGAATTCATAGCCTTTATTAGCAGAATCTCATGTACAGTCTGCTCTCTTGTTTTTGAAATCTGGGTTTTTTGTTATAGTTTAAACCCTTCAATCGAAAGCCTAAGTAAAATTCCTCAATTATTCAGCAATTTACGTATATATATATTTTTTATCTGTGGTGATTGTTGAAACGGTAAGTTAGAATTTATCTGTAAAAATTGAACTGAAGATGACGATCGAATCGATGCCAGGGAGTTCAGGATACTTGGATGCAGGAAATAGGAAGATAACCTATTTCAGTAACGGTTATGTTTTGGGGTTGACTGTTGTTGCGGGTATTGGTGGTCTTCTTTTTGGCTATGACACTGGTAATTTTTTATTTAATCTTCTCTAATTCTTCTTCTTGTCTGCACTAAAACATTGTAGATGTAAATTTGTAATTCATTAGCTTGGAATTTTGAAATGTTTACAATTATTAGATATTTCGTTTTGTAGGAGAGGGATAGTGGTTTGTCCTCTCAAATTTGTGGATTCAAACTTCAATTCCTGGGAATTTTCGGACTTTGAAAAAATTTTCTATTCACAAACAGATTTTAAGAAAATTTAATCTGGACTTCATCTTTTCCAGTTTGTATTGTGTTGGGGATTTTTTTTTTATTTTTTTTTATTTTTTTTTTGATAACTTAGCTCGGTGGATGCCGCTGACATTTGGAGTGGGGCACAAACTTATTAAAAAGTTACGAAAATTATGTATTCTACAAACGCACGTACAAGTGATTATGGAGTTAATTGTTTCAATGATCACTAAATTTTTGTCCATGTTTTTTATTAGTCATTGAACTTTAAAATATCGAGTTTTGGTCACTGAACTTAGGTCCATGTCTTTGATTGATCATTGTACTTTAAAGTGTCGAGTTTTGACCATTTAACTTTAAAAAATGTCGAGTTTTGGTCATTGAACTTAGGTTTATATCTTTGATTGCTTACTAAAATTGAAAATTTTTTGGTCACTGAACTTTGAAAAATGTTGTACATTACTCATTGAAATTTGAAAAATATTATACATTACTCACTGTAAATTCGATATTTTTCAAATTCAACAATTATGTTAGTGAGTAACGTACGACATATTCCAAAGTTCAGTGATCAAAACTCGATATTTTAAATTTCAGTGAGCAATCTAAAATATGAATCTAGGTTCAATGAGCAATCAAAGACATTGACCTAAGTTTAGTGACCAATTAAACTTCAGTGACTAGTCAAAGATATGAACCTAGATTCAGTAGTCAAAACTCGACATTTTAAAATTCAGTGACCATTTAAAGATATGGATCTAAGTTCAGTGACCATTGGAGCAATCAACTTAGTGATTGATTATCACCTAGGAAGCACGGACACGTTGCTGGCGTCGACGTGTCGGTGTCCGATACGTATCAGACACCGACACATCTGCGATGCGTGTCGGAGTTCCTTGTGGCGTGTCGGAGGGCTGGAAGGAAACGGTGAAGAAGAAGTGAAGAAAGAAAGAAGAAAATGGTACCCGTGGCTGTGTGTACTGTTCCGGTGTGTGTGAGGAAGAAAGAAGAGAAGAAGAAGAAGAGAGAAGTGAGAAGAGAGAGGAGAGATATGACGTAAGAGGCGTGTTTGAAGCATTTTCCAGAATTGATTACCTTTTTGTACACTGTACTTTACAAAGCAAACTAATGGTCACTAGACACTCGAGCATTGTACAATTTTTTTTAGTATATATTACTTTTTTTTCAACTTTATTTTTTAACAAAGCAAGGTGCAAAATTTTATGTTAATTAAGTCTTTTTCCATTTCACCCTCCATGTATGAATTTAATGTCATATTTTATTTATATTTATTATTTAATTATTTATAAACATGATACAATAAGTATAAAAAAATTATTATTATTTTAAATTATTAAAATTAATATTTTAATCAACGTGTCGAAAACGTATCGTGTCGGAACTTTTTGAAAAAATAGCGTGTCGACGTGTCCGACACGTATCGTATCGACGTGTCCGTGTCGGTGCTTCTTAGATTATCACACATTCACAAATCTCTCTCTCTATATATATGTGTGTGTGTGTGTGTGTGTGTGTGATGAATAACAATCTCCAAAGAATTCTCAAATTAAATATCACAAATGACAAAATAACCTCAACTCTTACTCTCTCAATTGTTTGGTCATCGCTATAACTCTATTCGAATAAAAAGCCCAACTGCTGTTACTATCCAATTCTGTTTTTTGGCTTATATATAAAAAAAAATATAAAGTTAGAATAATCTTGAAGTCGGTGGGTCACTTGACCCTCCAGGACCCTGAGTAGGTCAGCCAATGACTTTGTTGTAAATTTTGATATTATTTTTTATTATGGTACTTCTTTTTCTTTTTTTGAAGTATTGCCTACTCACCAACGACGACAACATATATGCATGGAAAAGAAATTCAGTCAAAGTAGCTAGATGTATCTTAATAATCACTAAATTGGCTGCAGGAGTTATATCAGGTGCCCTTCTGTATATTCGTGATGAATTTGAAGAAGTCAATCAAAGTAGCTTTCTGCAGGTATGTAATGCTAATTTTATTACTGCAACCTGGTATGCGAAATTTCTACATCTTGTTTTACTCATGGAGAGTGCTCCCAAAAGTATGGTGGACATAGAATTCCTTTGGAAGTCATGTTTAAGCATGAGAAGAAACTGAAAAGGTATCGTACAAAAAACATGAAGTCGTGGAAGCCAGTTGGGTTGATTTTGTGCTTTCCATGGGATGCTGTTTAGTTGATACAGAAGAAACTGTGTACCGGTGGCTTTTGTTGTTTTAAGTGAGAGAATTTTTCTGGGAAGGTGGTTGAGGGAAGTACAGCAGGGTGGAGCATAATTAATATTTTCGCTTCTTCCCACTACTAGTCCTAAGAATGGAATTTTTACTCATGGAGATGGTGTAATTGAAGAGGAATATTATGTATCTGTGTCTCTCCACCCCCTCCTCCTCATGCTGACATGAATTTTTTAATCTCCATTTCCTAGCTTTTAGTGGTCTTTATCTATTTAAGTTTCTATTTCAACGGATTGACAGGAAACAATTGTCAGTATGGCTTTAGTTGGTGCAATAATTGGAGCTGCCGTGGGTGGCTGGATAAATGATTTTTATGGACGTAAGAGGGCTACTCTGTCTGCTGATGTTGTTTTCATTATTGGATCTGTAGTCATGGCTGCAGCTCCGAATCCTTATGTTCTTATTGTTGGACGTTTCTTGGTTGGCTTGGGGGTGGGTGTTGCATCTGTTACTGCTCCTGTGTATATTGCTGAGGCTTCCCCATCAGAAATTAGGGGAGGCCTTGTGAGCACAAATGTGCTAATGATCACCGGTGGACAATTTCTTTCATACCTTGTGAATCTTGCATTTACAGAGGTCAGATTCCCCCCC